TCTGTTACTCCTGTTTCTTTGTTAGATTTCTGCAAACACTTAATCTTCTCAACAAGCATTTTAGATTCAGATGTATTTTATGAGATAGATACATAAATAATAATCTCTCTTATTCATAATTACCTTTTCCAAAGTAGTTCCTTTTGGGACTGAACATTTTTGATGTTCTCTCGTCAGTCTGTTGTGAGGTACCAGGGAGGTCTCCCTGTGGGAGCAGTTCTGCAGGACATTCCTAGGGGTTGAGCCTAGGCTCCTGCACCTCCCAACCGAACTCTCCTCCCTGCTCCTCCCCCTCTTGGGTGCACTCAGTATTCGTAGAACATTCAATGGACTACTACCTCAGTCCATTCGGGCTGGTATAACAAAATACCATAACTGGGCTGCTTCTAAGCAGAAGTCTCTCACAGATCTGGAGGCTGGAAGTCCGAGATCAAGGTGCCAGCAGATTTGGTGTCTGGTCAGGGCTGCTTCCTGGTTCATAGACAGCACCTTCTCTTTTTGTCCTCACATGGTGGCGGGAGTAAGGGAGTTCTATGGAACCTCTCCTGTAAGGGCACTAATCCCATTTGATGCCATTTGTGGGGACTCTCCCCTCATGACCTTATCAATTCTCAGAGCCTCACCTTTTTTTTTTTTTTTTTTTGGAGACAGAATCTGGCTCTGTTGCCCAAGCTGGAGTGCAGTGGCACCATCTTGGCTCACTGCAACCTCCACCTTCTGGGTTCAAGTGATTCTCGGGCCTCAACTGCCTGAGTAACTGGGGTTACAGATGCCTGCCCACCATGCCTGGCTAAGTTTTGTATTTTTAGTAGTAATGGGGTTTCACCGTGTTGGCCAGGCTAGTCTTGAACTCCAAACCTCAAATGATCTACCTGTCTTGGACTCTCAATGTGCTGAGATTACAGGCATGAGGCATCATGCCTGGTCCGGAGCCCCACCTTTTCATACCATCACCTTGTGGGGTGAGGATTTCAGTGCGTAAATTTTCAGGGACATGAACATTAGTCCATGGCAGACTATGTGTCTGGCTCATGCTATCTACATACAGAGGATACAGCAGTGAGTGAGATGGGCTAGCTGCTCTCCTTGGAGCATGTTTATTGTCATTTCGACTCTCAGGCATGTGATTGAGACATCTTCACCTAGTTGATGGTCATGATCAGTGCACCGTTGTCACAATTAAGTGACTGCAGAAGGCCTCGACAAAGAAATTCTTTTTTTTTGAGACAGAGTTTCACTCTTGTTACCCAGGCTGGAGTGCAATGGCGTGATATCGGCCCACCGCAACCTCCGCCTCCTGGGTTCAGGTGATTCTCCTGCCTCAGCCTCCTGAGGAACTGGGATTACAGGCACGCACCACCATGCCCAGCTAATTTTTTTTTTTTTTGTATTTTTAGTAGAGACGGGGTTTTACCATGTTGACCGGGATGGTCTCGATCTCTTGACCTTGTGATCCACCCACCTCGGCCTCCCAAAGTGCTGGGATTACAGGCTTGAGCCACCGCGCCTGGCCAAAAAATTCTTACATACTTCACAAAAAACATTCCAAGGTTCATCCTACATGTGTAAGTACGTTTTCTGTACGGATCTGCCAACCTTGGTTTGTAGCTGTTTCCAAAAGCCAAATTTAGAAGGCCATCGTAGATTTGGGTGGACATCAGACCCTTCAACTGAGCCTAATTTTCTCACTAGTTATGTGCCTTTTCATTGACTTTCAGAAGCCTTCTGGGACCTGACACACCCATTCAGCTAAGCAGGCCTGCAGCTGACCTGAGGTCCTGGGTTTCAGATTTGAGTGGTTTGATGTTGGTCTTGCTCCTTCTTGTTTTCTTGTTTTGTTTTTTTCCGTGATTTTATCCATGAAAGCTTTTCCTCTCCAGGCCAGTTTGGCAGTAGATGTTCACCTCCTACTTAAGTGAGATATTCACTGTTGGTAACTTTCTTCAGTGAGTGTCTCCAGTTATTTCTTTTTTCCTTTTTTCCTGACCCTTCAGCAGGACACATTGTGTCTCCAGTTCTAATTGTAGATATTGTATTGACCAGCTCTGAAGCAATTGGGACTGTTTGAGGAGAGAGAAAAGCAGGCATGAGTCCACTCTCTTGGATCTGTAGGGCCTGTGGATTTGCTGCCTGGTCTCCAGCAGCTGCTCCTGCCATTGTGGAGCACCTCACCCAGTATTTTCCGGTGTTCTGCAAGCCATGTTGCAGCCCTGCCATGTCTCTTTTGCCAGTATGCCCAGCGGTCCCCATTCAGGCAAAATAGTCCTTGGGCTATATTTGAAATACGAAGGGTTTTAAACAGGAAATAAAATTTCATGTCTTATGTTTTAAAAAGAGAACAAGACTTTTATGTTTTCTTTCCCATACAGAAAACTTCAAATTTGGTTTTTTAATGTAGAAGAACTTCACATTCATACTTGTGGCTTTGTGAATAAGTCGATTTGTTGTTTTAGTCTAGAGAAACTGGTCAGCAACATTACAGAACCAGAACAAACCAGCACAAAAGCATCAAAGTGGTGGGGGTATTTGGTTTTCTGTTCATAATAAGTGAGACATGTTACTGTTTTAGGTTAGAAAGGTATTCAGGAATGAACAAAGACAGCTTGGAGTTAAAAAAAAAAAAAAAAAAGAAAGGTATATTTCCAGTAATACAGAATTGGCTATAATTGGGCTGGTAATGTACTTCCTGTTTTGCCATTAGGTGGCATCTTTATAATTTGAAAGATGTTTCAGTGTCTCATGGAAGCTACTCAGATAAGCCTTGTTAAATAGAGGTAACAGGTAAGTTTGTTTGCATGGAGTTTTATAGTTTGACGAACATTTTTGGGCATATTTTCTCATCTGTTCCTGATGACACCTATCAGACTTAGACGAGATCAGGTGCGTTAAGGGTGGTATGGCCGTAGACCTATTAGATTTAGAGACCTGAGACGACCTGAAGTCATAGTTACCAGGTGGCCTGCTGAGGGCTCCAGCCCAGCTCTCCCATCAGGCCCTCTGTGCACTCACTGTGCTGTACCATGCTGCTTTCACGGGAGTGAAAGTATCTGAGTGCTAGGTTTGGCACTCATGGGGTTGCACCCTGCTTCTCAGTTCAGGTAGTTAGAAGATCTGCTGTGTCCTTTCAGAGGGGCTCATAGAACGATTTTTGTGTGTAGAATTGATTTTGGAAAAGGCTGTTTTTGTTTTTTTTTTTTTTGAGACAGTTGCCCAGGCTGGAGTATAGTGGCACAACCTCAGCTCACTGCAACTTCTGCCTCCCAGGTTCGAAGAGATTCTCTGCCTCTGCCTCCTGACTAGCTGGGATTACAGGCCTGCACCACCACGCCCGGCTAAATTTTTTTGTATTTTTAGTAGAGACGGGGTTTCGCCATGTTGGCCAGACTGGTCTTGATCTACCCACTTTGGCTTCCCAAAGTGCAGGAATTACAGGCATGAGCCACCATGCCCAGCCTACTGGAGTATTTTTAGGACCTGTGAAAATATGATACTCATAGAACCTGAATCTATTCTCATTTGACCATCTCCTGTACAGGCTAACATTTTTTTTTTTTTTTGGTAATGGAGTTTTACTCTGTCACCCAGGCTGGGGTGCAGTGATCTTGGATCACTAACCTCTGCCTCCCGGGTTCAAGTGATCTCCTGCCTCAGCTTCCCGAGTAGCTGGGATTACAGACGTGCACCACCACACCTGGCTAATTTTTGTACTTTTAGTAGACAGGGTTTTACCATGTTTGCCAGGCTGGTTTTGAACTCCTGTCCTCAGGTGATCTACCTGCCTCAGCCTCCCAAAGTGCTGAGATAACAGGCATGAGACACTGTGCTAAGCCTAATTCTTCTTTTTGAAAGTGTGTATGTTATATTTCAGAGTTTAATGACATAAGGAGGTAGGTAGATCTTACATGCAGTAACAGATACAGAAGCATGGAGAATCTTGGTTACACATGGACAAGACTTACCAGAAAGAAGATGAATAATACAAAACCAAGTATTTCAGTACCGTTGAAACAAAATTCTAGGCGCAACTGCTGCTGTAGTGTGTTGCTAAGGGAAGATGTGAAGTTTTCTCCTCTAACGGTCCTGAAAAGGAATTGGATGCTCTTCCATTTGGGGGTTGGGGGAGTCTATCCTGTCCTTTCAAGTCAGTTCATAGTATTGAGGTACTCTTGGTGCTGAGAGATGTGTGCCCTTTGGTTCTCTCAAGAAATTTGCATATTATCACGATGTTTTGCTTCTGGTTATGTGCTTTTTACTACAATTTAAAAAAATTTTAACCATTTAACAAAAAAGAATGTTATAAAAGTTTTTTTATTATTTAAAAACTATAGCCAATTCCCAAATATTTTTGGTTATTATAGAAACATAAGTGGCCTGTATAAAGTTAAGGAAAAGATGCCAAACCTCAGTATATCCACTAATGATAGCTTTTTTTGCTCTGTTGCTCAGACTGGAGTGCAGTGGTGTGATCTCGGCTCACTGAAACCTCCACCTCTAGGATTCAAGTGATTCTCTTGCCTCAGCCTCCTAAGTAGCTGGGATTGCAGGCATGCGCCACCATGCCCAACTAATTTTTGTATTTTTAGTAGCAATGGAGTTTTGCCACGTTGGCCAGGCTGATCTCCAAATCCTGGCCTCAAGTGATCCACCCACCTCCGCCTCCTAACGTTCTGGGATTATAGGCATGAGCCAGTGCGCCCAGCCACAGCTTTTTCTTAAATGAGCAATTCATAATAAAGTCTTCTAGAAAGTATAAGTAGAAAAAAAGTCATCTTAAGATCCAAAATGTTACTTAGGATTCTTTCTTCAATTCTAAGGGAGAAAAATGCTAAGAAACTGTGAAAGAACAAAGTTGGTGGGCAAGGGGAGAGGAGAAGGGTTGGCTGGGGTGTTGACAGAATCGTGCCACTGTGCAGAAACTTGAGTATAATTTGCTGGCTAGCTTGTAGATTCAGTGATAACTAATGAATATCCCCTTTCTTCTACCTGCTGGTACGAAACAGTGAGACGGTTTAAGCGGAAGCATCTTACCGCCATCGACTGCCAGCATTTGGCTCAGAGTCACTTGGCTGTGACCCAGCCCTTCGGTCAAAGATGGACAAACAGAGATCCGAACCATGGTCTCTATCCTAAACCCAGAACAAAAAGAGGGAGTAGGGGTATGTCTCCTCCAAAACTCTTGCACTTCAAAACCTGTGGTGTGTGGGGTCTTTGAATATCTCCTAGTTTAAAAGTATTTGTAAATGTTGCTGCTATGACTTGTAGTCTTGATGCAACAGCCTGACACTTTTTTCATTATTTGTGAATTTTGCATGAAAAAAAAAATTTTTTTTTGAGACTGAGTTTCATTCTTGTTGCCCAGGCTGGAATGTGATAGCATGATCTTGGCTCACTGCAACCTCTGCCTCCCGGGTTCAAGTGATTCTCCTGCCTTAGCCTCCTGAGTAGCTGGGATTACAGGCACACAGCACCACACCCAGCTAATTATGTATTTTTAGTAGAGATGGGGTTTATCCATGTTGGTCTTAAACTCCTGACTTCAGATGATCCACCTGCCTTGGCTTCCCAAAGTGCTAAGACTACAGGCATGAGCCACCACACCTGGCTGAGTTTTCTTTTCTTTCTTTTTTTTTTTTTTTTGAGACAGAGTTTTGCTCTTGTTACCCAGGCTAGAGTGCAATGGCACGATCTTGGCTCACAGCAACCTCTGCCTCCTGGGTTCAAGCAATTCTCCCGCCTCAGCCTCCGGAGTAGCGGGGACTACAGGCACGCACCACCATGCCCAGCTAATTTTTGTATTTTTAGTAGAGACGGAGTTTCACCTTGTTGACCAGGATGGTCTCGATCTCTTGACCTCATGATCCACCCGCCTCGGCCTCCCAAAGTGCTGGGATTATAGGCGTGAACCACCGCGCCCGGCCTCTGGCTGAGTTTTCTATGAAAATTCTGTCCTATTACCGGTTCGTACAAGCTGGGAAAAAGTGTGATGGAATGAATCCTATTAGCTTGTGTAAATTATAAAGTGATAGAAAACATGGGCCACTGTCACTCTTTTTCCAATCCAGAAACATTCTGATTAGTTGACCTTTTGTTTGTCTTCTCTGTCCAGTATCTGCCACTAGATCCATGTGTCATTATTTTTCCTCCAAAATGTTCCCTCATCCTAAGCCTTTTGTCACTTAGTACCTGGATTACTGCAGTAAACCTTCTTCTTGGCTTCAGATTTTCTCTCTTCTAAATCAACTGGACTGTCCTCTATGTACCAAATGAATTCCCACTTTAGTTAATAAATCTAGGTTGCTTTATTTCCCTTTCATGTAATTAATTTCAGAATCCAACTCAAGTATTATCTAGTTGGCTTTTTTTTTTTTTTTTTGAGAAAGGGTCTTGCTCTGTTATTCAGGCTGGAGTGCACTGGCACCGTCTCAGCTCATTGCAGCCTCTGTCTCCTACCTCAGCCTCCCAAGTAGCTGGGACTACAGGCATGTGTCACCACGTCCAGCTAATTTTTGTGTTTTTTTGTAGAGACGGGGTTTCACTATGTTGCCCAGGCTGGTCTCAAACTCCTGGGCTCAAGAGACCCGCCCACCTCCGCCTCTCAAACTGCCGGGATTATGGGTGTCAGCCACCTCTCCCAGCCCGGTTGTCTTTAAATATTGTGTGTTTTCCACTTTGGGAACTACTATAACCAACTGTATGAGGCAGTTTGAAACTTAGTTATATGCTGTCTGATACTGAGTTTGTTCCATATGTAGAAGGCAGTTTCTTCTCTTCCTTGAGTTCTTTACTGACAAGGACTTGTGAGGTGGCCCTGACCAGGTGGTAAGGTCTCAATGACTGTGGATGTGGCTGGATTCAACAGTCAGAAGGTACCAGGATTTGGCTGGGAGCAGTAGCTCACACCTTATTTATAATCCCAGCACTTTAGGAGGCTGAGGTGGGAGGATTGCTTGAGCCCAAGAGTGCCAGACCAGCCTGGGCACCATAGTGAGGCCCTGTCTCTATTTAAAATAATAATAATAATAATAATAATATTTTTCAAAAAAGAAAATAGCAGGATTTGACCCTGGTCATATGGATTTAACTCATAGTAATCGTGACTTCAGAACTCTGGGTTTCTATCAAATTGCTTAAGAAATAGTTATATATTTTTTTCACTAATATAGAAAAATATCTGTGTCAGTTTCATAAATTTTTTTAAAGGCTAAACTGAATTTCAGACCATTCTCTTATTTTCCAAAATGAGAATTTTGGCTACAGCCATTTAGAAAGGAGCTGTGTATTACTGATAAGGCATTTACTTCTGTAGCATTTCAAAATAATTTTCAGGAGTTTGCAAATGCTGTGGGATGTGTGAAATCACCATTTAGGCTTCCCTATGTGCCTGAAAAGTCTGTGAGGTCAGGGAACATAACCATTTTTCATTCTACACTTGTCTCAGAATCATCGGTGCTTAGTAAATGCTCACTGAACAAACATGTAGAAGAGATTAGGTACCACTATAATACTATAAATATAATTCTGAGTCCCACCTTTTTATTTAAAATAAATTAATGTGTCACCTTCACAGGAAGAAATAAAAATAAAAGCTGGGCACGGTGGCTCACACCTGTGATCCCAGCATTTTGGGAGGCCAAGGTGAGTGGATCACTTGAGGTCAGGAGTTCGAGACCAGCCTGCCCAACATGGCAAAACCCGATCTCTAAAATACAAAAATCAGCCAGGCGTGGTGGCGCCTATAGTCACAGCTACTTGGGAGGCTGAGGCAGGAGAATAGCTTGAACCTCGGGGGCAGAGGTTGCAGTGAGCTAAGATCACACCACTGCGCTCCAGCCTGGGTGTAGAGTGAGACTACGTCTCAAATAAATAAATAAATAAGAAATAAGTAAAAATAAAAGAGTTTTAGCGCTGTCAAATGAAAAGAGAGATTTTCAGAATCCTGATAACCCCAAGCATGTGAATTTCTGCTTAAGCACATGGAGGCTTCCCGCTGTAGAGTGAGCGAGAGTGGTGCACTTTGTGAGTGGCGGTGTGGATGTGAGCAGTCACCTCCTTTTTGTCTGTCCATTTAGGTATTCCCTGTGAACCCTGTTTCTCTGTACTTATATTTACTGCAGGGAGTATTGTGGCCATCACACCAAGTGGAGACTGGTCTCTGTCTCTTTGTAAATGTGTGTCTGGTTATATGATAGAGCCAAATGTAAATATTGTTTGGATTAGTTATTTATATAACCAGCTGGCCCATAAATATATTCTTGTCTTTTCCCTCTGGTAACATAGATAATTGAAAATTAGTTTGTCTTATTTGGGTCAACAGCAAGTCAACAGTCATCGTTCATTTCTCGTCCATCCTGTTTGGGTTCTCTCTACAGGTCAAGGATGTCAAAGATGCATCCCTGAGTTCTTCCTAGCAGGCAAGCAGCCGTGCACCAATGACATGGCCAGAAGCAATTCTGTTGGCCAGGACAGCTGTCAGGACTCTGAGGGTGACATGATCTTTCCTGCAGAGAACAGCTGTGCACTGCCTCAGGAAGGCAGTGGAGAAGCATGGCTGGGTGCTTCAGGGTCTGCCCCGCCCTCCAGGAAGCGGGCTCGGTCCTTTGAGGAAGAGAGTAACCAGGCTACGGGGACCAGCCGGTGGGATGGAGTTTCTAAGAAAACCCCGAGGCATCATTTGTCCGTGCCATGCAAAAGGCCTAGGGAGGCCAGGCGAGAAGCAGAGGACAGTACGTCTCGGCTCTCTCCAGAGTCTGGAGAAACTGACCAAGATGCTGGGGACCTGGGTCCTGATCCCATTCCTGACTCATACTATGGACTTCTTGGGACCTTGCCCTGCCAGGAAGCGCCGAGCCACATTTGCAGCCTGCCTAGTGAGGTCCTGAGGCACGTGTTTGCCTTCCTCCCAGTGGAAGACCTCTACTGGAACCTGAGCTTGGTGTGCCACCTGTGGAGGGAGATTATCAGTGACCCACTGGTGAGTGAGTGCTTGGAGTCGGGAGGTGGGTCCTCTAAAAGCACGTGAATTTGCTAGATGCACACATCTAATTAGAGGATCTTTTCAGAAATGGTTTCCATTTGCCTTCAGAAGACATGCAGACTCCTTAGAGGCATTTAAGGCCTTCTGTGTCTGCCCCACTCTATGATTCCAGCCTCTTTGCTCACTTCCACTCAACACATCTTCCCTGTGTTCTGTCTACAGCTCATCTGCTGTGTCCTGACCACAGACTGCACATTCCTTCCCCTCCCTGGGTTGCTCTAATCCTCCCACCCTCCCGATTTGGAGGTTTTTTTTTTTTTTTTTTTTTCTTTTTGGAGACAGTTTCCCATTGTCACCCAGGCTGGAGTGCAGTGGCACGATCTTGGCTCACTGCAACCTCTGCTTCCCGGTTTCAAGCAATTATACTGCCTCAGCCTCCCCAGTAGCTGGGATTACAGGCATGCATCACCAAACCCAGCTAATTTTTGTAGTTTTTGTAGAGATGGGCTTTTACCATGTTGGCCAGGCTGGTCTGAAACTCCTAACTTCAAGTGATCTGCCTGCCTTCGGCTTCCCAAAGTGCTGGGATTATAGGTGTGAGTCACCGTGTATGGCCCCACCCCGCTTTTTAAAAAAATGTAAGCATTTATAGCTATAAACCGCTCTCTTACAACAGTACAACAGCCTTCATTGCATCTCATAAGTTTGGTATGGCATGTTTTTATTTTCGTTTGTCACAGATATTTTCTAATTTTCTTTGCGATTTCTTCTTTGACCCATTGGTTAAGAATGCGTTGTTTTTTTTGTTTTTGTTTTTGTTTTTGCTTTTGTTTTGAGACAGAGTCTTGTATCACTGGAGCACAGTGGCGCAATCCTAGCTTACTGCAACTTCTGTTTTATAGTTTCAAGCAGTTCTCCTGCCTCAGCCTCCCAAGTAGCTGGGACTTCAGGCATGCACCACCATGCCTGGCTAATTTTTTTTCGATTTTTAGTAGAGGTGGAGTTTCACTGAGTTGGCCAAGATGGTCGTGATCTGCCGCCTCAGCCTCCCAAAGTGCTGGGATTATAGGCTTGAGCCACCGTGCCTGGCCTAAGAATGTGGTGTTTATTTATTTATTTATTTATTTAATTTTTTTTTTTTTTTTAGACTGAGTTTTTGCTCTTGTTACACAGGCTGGAGTGCAATGGTTTGATCTTGGCTCACCGCTACCTTCGCCTCCGCCTCCTGGGTTCAAGCAATTCTGCCCCAGCCTCCCGAGTAGCTGAGACTACAGGCATGCGCCACCATGCCCAGCTAATTTTTGTATTTTGAGTAGAGACGGGGTTTCACCATGTTGACCAGGATGGTCTCGATCTCTTGACCTCGTGATCCACCTGCCTCGGCCTCCCAAAGTGCTGGGATTACAGGCGTGAGCCACTGCGCCCGGCCGCCTTTGTCTCTTATAGCAATATTTAACAGAGAAAACTGAGTTGAAGTCTGCTTTGTCTGATATTAGTATAGCCAGTGCTAATGTTTCAGATAGGGAAACTGAAGCTATAGCTTTTCCCAGATTCTAAAACAAGTTAGTGTTAGAACCAAGACCAAGACCCAGTTCTCTTAGTTTCTGACCAAAATTTGTATAACATTTCTGCCTGATTTGCCTGACTTTTGAATTGTGAGCTGTGATTGCTTTTCACTGGTAGAAGGTTATCTATGTGTTTGTGGTTTAATCTGCTGTCTTTTTTTTTTTTTTTTTTTTTTTGAGACAGAATCTCACCCTGCCCCCTAGGCAGAGGGCAGTGGCTTGATCTCGGCTCACTGCAACCTCTGCCTCCTGGGTGCAAGTGATTCTCCTGCCTCAGCCTTCTGAGTAGCTGGGACTAAAGGTGTATGCCACTACGCCTGGCTAATTTTTGTATTTTTTTTTTTTTTTAGTAGAGACAGTTTTTGCCATCTTGGCAAGGCTGTTCTCAAACTCCTAACCTCAAGTGATTTGCCTGCCTCATTAATCTACTTTCTAATGGGCTCTGTCTTATGTTATTTTGTTTGTTTTTTAACTACATAGTTCATTCCTTGGAAGAAGCTGTATCATCGATACCTGATGAATGAAGAGCAAGCCGTCAGCAAAGTGGATGGCATCCTGTCTAACTGTGGCATAGAAAAGGAATCAGACTTGTGTGTGCTGAACCTCATACGGTGAGCTTCGTCTCTGCTCTAGGGAAGGTGTCTTTGAATTCTTCCCTGTACATCAGTGCTTATGGTCACCCTGCTCATGGCCTCGGCTGTGAATGTCTTACAGATACGCAGCCACCACTAAGTGCTCCCCGAGTGTGGATCCCGAGAGGGTGCTGTGGAGTCTGAGGGACCACCCCCTCCTCCCCGAGGCCAGGGCATGCATGCGGCAACACCTCCCTGACCTCTACACCGCTGCCGGGGTACGTCTGGAGGCTATGGGAGAAGGCAGCATCTTATTTCACTGGAAGAAAGTGTACTGGTGATTCAGTTCAATTGAGGATGACTTTATATTTGTTTTTAATGTCTTTATTTAATCTCTTAATACTTTAAAACATTCATGTTGTCATTGTTCCAATTATAAAAGGCCATAAACTATAGATTCTTAGATTTAGAGGAAATTAAAAAAAAAAAAAACGTTTAGTCTGATTTCCCATTTGGTTGAGGAATCCTCTCTGAAATATTTCTCAAAAGTGGTCATCTGGCCTCTGAACACTTTTAATAATAGGATTTCTTTACAAGACAGCCCAACCCATTATTGATAACTTGGCTTATTTGAAAGGGACAGAAAAATTCAAGGTCTTGCTATAGTCACACAGTGAGGTAATGAGAAGCTGGAAACAACCCTCAGTCTCTTTGACTCTTAGCCCTGGTGCTCCTCATCCAGTTCAGGGGTTCCCCGATTCCGTCTTCAAACCTACATGCAGCCTCTGCCTGTGTTTTGCTGGCCACAGAAGGCTAGGAACCCAGGCCACTGCATCTCTCTTTCTGTTGAACAAGATGATTGCGGATGGTGGTGGAGCAGGTCTTTCACAGGATGGTTGTAGTGAGAGGTGATGGGACGTTCCTTTCTTGGAATGCATTCTTTAAAACAGAGATTCGTAGTAACTTAAAGAATGGTACAGGCCGGGTATGGTGGCTCATGCTGTTGTCCCAGCACTTTGGGAGGCCAAGGTGGGCAGATCAGCTGAGGTCAGGAGTTCGAGACCAGCCTGGCCAACATGGTGAAACGCTGTCTCTCCCAAAAGGACAAAAATTAGCCAAGCATGATGGCATGTGCCTGTAGTCCTGGCTACTTTGGAGGCTGAGACAGGAACATTGCTTGAACCTGTCAGGCAGAGGTTGCAGTTTGCTGAGATTGCGCCACTGCACTCCAACCTTTGTGACAGAGTGAGACTTTGTCTCAAAAAAAAAAAAAGAAATAAAATTAAGATCTCTGTCCACTGTTGACTGTTTCTGTGTAAGTGAACATTTATGGAGACTGCTAATTGGAGCATGCCGTCTTCACAAAATAAACTTTCCATAATTTCATATTTATTTAACTTAGCATGAACAGTTATTACTAATAATAACTAGCAAGCTAGTACCACAATGCTGGAGAATTGCCAGACTTTATTTCCCCCACAGCCTATGTGTGGCCTTCTGTGTCTGCATCTCTTGTGCCTCTTGGGTGGGTCCCTCGTGCTGGCTGTTTTGCTCTGGCCCTGCCAAGCACTTGTGGGCCAGAGACCCCTAGTGGCCTGGAGAGTAGGGTGGGAAGATGACAGGGAGCTCATGTTTTTAGACTGTCCCTCTATCCAACGTTCTATGTTATAGATACTCATCCTGTTAATTAATTTAAAATTTCCAATTTGAAAGTCATGAGAAGAAGGGTCCAGGGCGAAGGGAAGGGCTCCTTTGTTTCCCAAATACCACTTTCTAGAGTTTGGATTCCGTCCTAGACAGTCTAGCTAGCAGGTGGACCCCTGGCTTGGGTTTCCTGGCTCCTTCCTGCTGTGATTTGTATTAACCACGGCCTGTTTGGGCTGTCCCTCCCTCCTTGTGCACCTGGCTCCCAGGGTGTCAATGTCTGGGCTCTGGTGTCGGCCGTGGTGCTCCTCTCTAGCAGCGTGAATGACATCCAGCGGCTGCTCTTCTGCCTCCGGAGACCCAGCTCCACAGTGACCGTGCCAGACGTCACCGAGACCCTGTACTGCATAGCCGTGCTTCTCTACGCCATGAGGGAGAAGGGGATTAACATCAGCAATAGGTAATGCCCTGGGAGGAAGGGAGGGGATGCTGGGATAACGGGAGAAACCAGACATGGCAGCAGGTCCAGCCCTGCCACTTAGCAGTGTTAGTACCCGGCAGGCTATGGAACCCACCCTGCTCCACCTCGTGAGTTTGATGTGGAAAGGCAGGTGAGAGTGCCTTATGAATGTGCAGTGCTGGGCGGCTGCGTGATACTACCAAGGCCGATTTTACCATCACAGATCCTGCAGCCTTAGGGGGAGCCCCTTGCTAAGATGCAGCCCTCCCTATTCACCGTGGCCTCCCTCTCCTAGGATAACGTTAGGCTCTGCTTCCTACGTTTTCCATTTGTGGGATGGAAAAGATTCGTCTACCTTATCCTCCATGTGGAAGAGGCATTAGTGTGTGAGCTGCTGATTCACAGGGTCCCTGATGGTGGCCCTCAGAAGGGTGGGGAGTGCTTGGTGGGTTGTGTGCATTTGACAAACACCAAACACCCATGCGTGTCTGAAAGTTATTCACAAGCCGGCCCACTGTGACAAAGTTACAGGAGATTCCTGATCTAGTTAGGGCTTCAACATAGGAATTTCAAGGGACACAATTCAGTCCATGGCAGTATGTATGTTGGTTTTTGTTGCATTTCTATATTTCTTCCTGTTTTTTTCCTGGGAGATAATAGAATCATGTCAGAAATGTTGGATTATTAAAGGTATTTGTTGCATTCAAGAGGTCAAGGCTTGGAGATGGGCTTTTCTCACTCTGGGGATGGGGAGCAGTGCTCTCGACTATGGGGGAAGCTGGGTGGTGAGCTTGGATTCACTTACCTCCTGGCCTCCCCGGGGAGACTTGGAGAGGCTTTGGAATGGCATGTGCCGGCTGAGTCTGACAATGTCCTGTGCCTCTGCTGATTGAACTTTGTCATCTTTGGTCCCTCTTGGTGACTTGGAGGCTGCTGTTTTCTGGTCCTTGATCATCAGATCTTGTTATCCATAGTGGAATCCCTTTTCTTGGGACCTTAAAAGACAGAACGTGTTTATGCTTATAAAGCAATGTCATGTCGTAAAAAGCCACCAAGGCTCAGAAAGAGGCTGGTATTTTTATCCGCAGGTGCAGTAAGTATCATTTAAACAAGAGTCTCATTGCTAGGAGCTGTGTTTCCCTTTGCTGTCCACTGGTCCTTACAGCTTTTCTGGTCATTTTTCTCTTAAATTCAGAGCTAGTGCTCTCATTCTTTGAAGAGCCTGTCCTGGTCTCTTCCTCCTCTTGGTGATATACATAGAAACTATACCTTTCCCAGGACTGTGCTATCTGAGAATAATTTTGCCAGCCATAGATACATTTAAATCCTTTTCTTTCTTTCTTTCTTTTTTTTCCATAAAATGATGGTAGATGTTTTCTTTTTAGAAATGGGGAGGAGTTTAAATCCATCTGAGGAAAAGTAAGATACAGATTGTGACTTGAATTTGAAACTTTTTCTAAATCTACTTTTTTTTCTGTTAGGATTCACTACAACATTTTCTATTGCCTATATCTTCAGGAGAATTCCTGCACTCAGGCTACAGAAGTTAAAGAGGAGCCATCTGTCTGGCCAGGGTATGTGCATATGTCAGTCGGTGTGGGTGTTGTCTTCTGTTCTTGACTCTTCCCCATACTTGGGGAGGGAGATGTTTTGTTTCACTTTAGCAATGTCATTGAGGCATAATGTGCATTGTGTAAAATTTACCCGTCATAAGAGTGTAATTCAGTGATGTTGAGGAAATTGCCTGAGCTGTGCATCAGCAGCATCATCTAGCTTTAGAACATTTCTGTTCCTTTAAGGGAAAGGTGTCGTTTTGGTCAATTGTTTTTTGTTTCTCCAGTTTATCTGTTTAGTTTCTGGACAGTGTATCCCCTGGACTTTTCATCTCTTTCTGTTTTTCTCATCTCTCTTCTGTAATGATTACAGAAAGAAAACCATCCAGCTTACACATGAGCAACAGCTGATTCTGAATCATAAGATGGAACCTCTCCAGGTGGTAAAAATTATGGCCTTTGCAGGTAAGGGAGCTCACATCAGGTTCACGATATCGTTGTTTTTTGCCTTTTCTCTCTATATCCCCTTCCCACTACCCACCAGGGCATTTTTGCTCTGATCTGTCATCCAACTAATAATTCGATAACAGATCAAATAGTCAATCTCAAAAGCAGTTGGCCAAGGAATACTTGCTTCCCCAGACCACTCCAGTGAACATCCACAGTAGCATTCCTGTTCAGATGGATAGTTCACAGCAATTGTTTGTGGGGTAGATGCCACTGGGATTGAGCCCAGCATTGTGATGTGTGCGCAGGCCCTGATTGCTTCTGGAGAGAGAGGTCCTGTTAATCCCCAGCCCAGTCCCCTTAATCCCCAGTTTTGTAGGGTGATGTCTAGAGGGCCTGCCTTAGATTCGATTTGAACCTATATTCATAAATATCTTCAATTATCCTGCCTCAGTCAGCCACGCCGATCTACTTTTATAGCCTCCTAAAGTACTTGGTTATTCTTTCGTCACAGCCTTTGCTCGTGCTATTTGCTACTTTTTTCTACCTGTAATCCCTTCCTGCTCCTTTTGTGGCTGAATACCCTGCTAACAACAACAACAATATATTAAATGTCTATAGTGTGCATGACATGGTGCTGATCCTAATAGCATTCCATAAGGTTGCTTAGTTATTTTATAGATGAAGAAATTGAAGCACAGTGAGCCTTGCCCCAGGTTGAATAAGCGTATACGTGATAGAGGTGGAATTCAAAGCTGGACCTGTCTCTTTCCAGAGACATGCCTTCTCCCCTCCCTAACTCTCCCCTCCTGCCCTGGGGGGGTCATTTTTGCCCTTGGAAACCCTACCTCTAAGTGATACCCTACCTCTAAGTAATGCCCGCTTATTTCTGAGAAGCAAACTGAAGCCCATGTCAAGAGGTCCGTCTGTCCTTTGCCCCTCAGCTGGAGCCTGCCCGAGCTGAGATCGCAGCCCACCTTCATCCGGCTTTAAATCTGCCACCTTTTTTGTGAGCACAGCTTTTATCAGCACTGAAAAACTTGTCACTGTCCCGCTTTCAAGACAGAGGTGTGATAAGCCTGGACAAGGCCTGATTGGGGATCCCTGGGCATGTCTTGTTTGGTCAGAGGGTCACCTCCTTTCCTCCTGGCTTCCCTAGGCACTGGGAAGACCTCAACCCTGGTCAAGTATGCAGAGAAGTGGTCTCAGAGCAGGTTTCTGTACGTGACGTTCAACAAGAGCATTGCAAAGCAGGCTGAACGCGTCTTCCCCAGCAACGTCATCTGCAAAACCTTCCATTCCATGGCCTATGGGCACATAGGGCGGAAGTGAGTACTGCTGTCACTAGAGGCACTGTTGATGCCGTCTTACTGTATTTCCCATGACGGTCACATGTGAGTTTACAGCACAGTGACCCTGAGAAAGCGGAGTGCAGTTATCTCCACCTACAGGCAGGACATGTAAATATAGGTTTAGCCATTTGTACTTTTCTCCTGTAGCAATGTATTGTTTGCGTAGAAAGCTGTCTGGCTGAGAGGGGTGTTCTCATAGAACTGAGGCACAGAAAGTCAAAATGACTTGTTTAAAGTTCAGAGTCTCACCCGGGCTTGGTGGCTCAAGCCTGTAATCCCATCACTTTGGGAGGCCGAGGCAGGTGGATCACGAGGTCAAAAGATCGAGACCATCCTGGTCAACATGGTGAAACCCCGTCTCTACTAAAAATACAAAAAATTAGCTGGGCATGGTGGTGCAGTGCCTGTAATCCCAGCTACTCAGGAGGCTGAGGCAGGAGAATTGCCTGAACCCAGGAGGCGGAGGTTGCGGTGAGCCGAGATCGCGCCATTGCACTCCAGCCTGGGTAACAAGAGTGAAACTCCGTCTCAAAAAAAGAAAAAAAAAAAAAAAATTCAGAAATAAAGTTGAGTCTCACAAATCCTGATCAGTTTTAGGCTTTCCTTAGAAGGGAGTGAGGAAGACTCAGCCGAGGCACACTTGCCCCAGCTGTCCTGGGTGCGGAGCTTTCCGAGTGTCCCCCCGGGACCTCCCGGAGCCCAGCTTCACGGTGGACTAAACAGCGGTGTTTATTAACAGTTTATGCCGTGAGCTTGTCCCTCTCCTGGGTTGGTGCCTGTGAGTCCTGAAAGCCGTTTCCAGTCAGACATGGACCATGCAGAACTTTCTTGCTTTAAAACGATTATCTCACCTGTGCGTGACACTTGAAGCTACCTCCTTGTGATGTTAGAGAGAGTGGAGGGGACGTTAAATACCACAGAACCAGGAGAGCCACATGCTGTTCATTTGGGACGGGTATTACAGGTACCAGTCGAAGAAGAAGTTGAATCTGTTCAAGTTAACACCCTTCATGGTCAACTCCGTCCTTGCCGAAGGGAAAGGTGGATTCATAAGAGCCAAGCTCGTGTGTAAGACTCTAGAAAACTTCTTTGCCTCGGCTGATGAAGAGCTGACTATTGATCACGTGCCTATCTGGTGTAAGAACAGCCAAGGACAGAGAGTCATGGTTGAGCAGAGTGAAAAACTGGTGAGTGTCTAAGAGTCTAAAGTGTCGGGGATCTGTGGCCGGGGGAAACAGGGAGTGTGGTCCAGTATTATTTCTTCACAACTGTTTGTAGGAGGTTGAAGGTGGGAGGGTGAGGCCATAGGCCCATGGTGATGGTTGTGAATTGTTGAGTATTTTCTCCTGTGGAGGACACCTGTGACCATCACACTTAAGCCTCGGAATAGTCCTCCCACATAACAGAGAAGGCAGACATGGAACAACTCACCTCAGTTTATAAGAGCTTGTCCCTCGGGCTCCTGGACCTCAAATCTGATCTTATCTGAAGACTGGGAATCTATCTTCTGATTTTCTTGGTTGGTTCTATGGAATAGATTTTGCTAGTGGGAAAGTCTGTTTCTTTTTTTTTTTTTTTTTTGAGACGGAGTTTCGCTCTTATTACCCAGGCTGGAGTGCAGTGGCGCGATCTCGGCTCACCGCAACCTCCGCCTCCTGGGTTCAGGCAATTCTCCTGCCTCAGCCTCCTGAGTAGCTGGGATTGCAGGCATGCACCACCATGTCCAGCTAATTTTTTGTATTTTTAGTAGAGACGGGGTTTCACCATGTTGACCAGGATGGTCTCGATCTCTTGACCTCATGATCCACCCGTCTCGGCCTCACAGAGTGCTGGGATTACAGGCATGAGAAACCACACCCGGCCCTGTTTCTTGTTTTTATCAAGTCTTTTCAATCATTTGCCATTGTTTTTATGAATTAAGAATCAGTCATAAATCTAGAAAAACAATTTGGCCTTTTCTGGTTCACTTAACTGTTGTGACCTCTGCCCTATCATGGGCCTGGCATCATGGCCCAGCTGCTTCCTATCTCAGTGCTGGAGACCCTGTTGGCATGAAGAGGCTGTCAAGGAGCCCCAGGAGGTTAGGGAGGTACCTGCAGACCCCTTTCTGTGATGACGCCCTGGCTACATTGCTATACAGCAATGTAGGAATTGAAAGTGTGACTGCAGGGTGCTGCCTTTGCCAGGGTCTTAAACTCTGGGTTACCATATACCTTCCTTCCTAGAATGGTGTCCTTGAAGCAAGCCGCCTCTGGGATAACATGCGAAAGCTGGGCGAGTGCACAGAAGAGGCGTACCAGATGACTCATGATGGTAGGCGGCTGCCGGCTAGCGGGGACTGGCAAGTGGAACTGCTTTTCTTGCGTTACAATTCCTGCCTCTCTCCTATTTTTAGGCTACTTGAAACTCTGGCAGCTGAGCAAGCCGTTGCTGGCCTCTTTTGACGCCATCTTTGTGGATGAGGCCCAGGACTGCACACCAGGTGATGCACTATTCAGGACATCAGCAGTCTCAAATACTCAGAAACAGCACCATGATTACATAAGACAACACCTGCGGGAACTAAGTTGATTATTCTTATTTGTGATCAAGAAGAGGATCTTCTTAATTCGCCTTAGGAGTTCAAGCTGCCCCTTCCCCTCGCCCAAGCAGATTTCTCTGTCACCGTAGGTTTTGCTTAGGTTGTTTTTAACATGTTGACCACGTGTAGATCAGCAGATGATAGGGACCTAGACTCATGCTCAGTGGAAAGAGATCATCCACTGAGAGGAAAGCTTGTGTTGTATACTTCGCAAGTGACTAAGAGAGAACAGTGTTACGAATCTGACTTAGTAGGTCAGTTTTGAGTGCTATAATATTAGAGAAGACAATTTGCCTCATTTTAGATTTGCCTGTGTTGTTTCCTTATATTCCAACCATTCATCCAGGGTGAAACAGCTGCATTCCTAGGACCAGAAACTTTCTTTGTCCATTATAAAATGGCTGATTTGATGGAGTGTGCCTGTCCTGCAGGAAAAGGCGACTCTGAGGTCCAGTGTGCCCTGATGTAGCTTCGTGGAAGTGTTTTCGTCCTTCTCTTTTTGCGGCGTGGGGTGGAGACCTCAAAAGTTTCTCACTTTTCCTCTCGTTGGTTACAGCTATTATGAACATAGTTCTGTCTCAGCCATGTGGGAAAATCTTTGTAGGGGACCCGCATCAGCAGATCTATACCTTCCGGGGTGCGGTCAACGCCCTGTTCACAGTGCCCCACACCCACGTCTTCTATCTCACTCAGGTAAGCGCGCTTTCTGCCTCGGAGGCCCTGGGCCCAAGTGGCAGGCATTGCATCTCCCTCCCAGTGTCTTGTGTGCTAGGCCCTGTGCAAGGTGGTATGCCAGGCTCATCGGATCTAGCAAATCCTTGCTTCTAAGCAGTGGTTCTCAAAGTGTGGTTCTCAGGGGTCCACCAAGTCAGACTGTTTTCATAAGAGCTGTTTGTATAGCTGTCATCTGAGGAAAAGCTGTTGCGGCTGAACTGTGAACTGATGGCTCCTGCTGCCTTGTACATTGTACTGAGAACAGTTGTTAGACCAGTGCTGGTTGTTCAGACTTGCATATTTGGCACTTTTTCAAAGACAAGTGAAACAGGCAACTTCAGGGAAAATAACTGACAGTGTTTGTTTTTAAAGATAACATCTTTGTTTTCAAGTGAAATTAAAATTTTGGCAAACTCCCGTAATGAACGTGGTAACTCACAGTGTCCTTGATTATGTGAAAAGGTTATTATGCGCTCCTTCCTTTCCAATCACATGTCTGTGTGAGGCTGAATTTTCTTCCTGGGTGTTAGCCAGGATACTATATCACAGCAGACCACGCAGATGTGAACACAGGAAACCGGCTGTCTTCTGTGATGCCAGGCATTGAAGAGATTTGCAAAAATATAACACAGTACCATTCTTCTTGCTGAATTTCTTTGTGTTCTGGGAAATATAGTTACGTTTCAAAAAATATGTTCCATATGTTGTCATATAAGAGGTTTTTAGTTGGGCATGGTGGCTCCTGCCTGTAATCCCATCACTTTGGGAGGCTGAGGTGAGGAGATCACTTAAAGTCAGGAGTTCAAGACCAGCCTGGCCAACATGGCAGAACCCTGTCTTTACTAAAAATACAAAAATTAGCCAGGTGTGGTGGCTCACACCTGTAGTCTCAGCTACTCAGGAGGCTGAGGCAGGAAAATCACTTGAACCTGGGAGGTGGAGATTGTGGTGAGCGGAGATCATGCCACTGCACTCCAGCCTGGGCAACAGAGTGAGACTCTGTCTTAAAAAAAAACACAAAACATTTTTAATAGTTTTTAAAAAGTGAATTAAAATTTCTAATATGGTAAAGAGATAGATGGATAGAGCTCATGTAAATAAAAGCTCTTTGGAGGCTTTTTAAGTGTGATTTTTAGGTGTGACGCATCCTGAGACCAGAAGTTCGAGAACCACTGCTTTTAAGAAACTCATATCTAATTAGAAGAGATGTGTGACTTGGACGAAAGTATAAACTGCTGTGTTTTGTGATGTTACTGAAAGTCCTGTAGGTACCTCTGACTCTTCCGTTGAGTTCCTGCCTGCTTTGGTGATTAGGGTGGCATCAGTGCAGAGCTGTTTTCTTCTTTTAACAGACAATATTTTTTAGAACAATTTCAGATTTACAGAAAAATCGAGAAGAGAGTTCCCATATATCCTATATATACTCAGTTTCCCATTACTAACATCTTATCATCTTATATTCATGTGGAACACTTGTCAGGATAATGAACCAACATTGATACACTATTATGGACTGAAGTCCATGGTTCATTTGCATTTCCTTAGTTCTGAAATAATGTCCTTTGCTACTTCAGGATCCCATCCAGGATCCCACATTTCATGTAGCCATGTGTTCATTTGGCTCTCTTGGCTGTGACAGTTTCTCAGACTTTCCCTGTTTCTGATGACCTTGACAGTTTTGAGAAGTGCCTGTCAGACATTGGTAGGCTGCCCCTGTGCTGGAATTTGTCTTATGTTGTTTCTCATGGTTAGGCTAGAATTCAGGGTTCTGGGAGGAAGACCACAGAGGTAAAGAGCCATTTTCATCCATGCTGTCACCATGGCTCATGACGATGTTGACCTTGATCAGCTTGATGGCTGATGTAGTGTTTGTCAGGTTTCTCCACTGTAGAGTTCCTCTTTTTTTTCCATCCCTTTCCGTACTGGATGCTTTGGAAGGAAGTTCCTATATGCCTTCCATCCTCGAGGAGTAAATGTTGCAGAATCTTCATAAATTATTTGGAATTCTTCTGCAAAGGAGATTTGTTTCTTCTTTCCCATCTATTTAAATATTCCATCATTTATCTACCTTAATATGAACTCATGGATATTTATTTTATAATTTCGCTGATGGTTCACTCACAGTAGTTTTATAGCAACAAAATAGTGTTTATTGAAAGTCTAGTTTTCATTTGACTGTTACTGGTATTCACCAAAGCACTTGAACTTGTGTGTGCATGGAACCAGGCCATATACACTCTGAGTGTGGGGAAGAATGATATCTTACCAGCCTGAGGGGTGAAGAAAGTAAGGTCTTGGCTGAGTTTTGAAGGTTAGGAAGTGATTTTGATGGATGAAAAAGACTTATAGGCAGACAGAAAAAGCATGAACCGAGGTGGGACAGCATAGGGAATGCATAGGTGGTTGTGCTACTGCTGTGGCTGGTTGGTGCAGGGCAGTGGTTTGTTTGTTTGTTTGTTTGTTTTTTTGAGACAGAGTCTCACTCTGGAGTGCAGTGGCGCGATCTCGGCTCACTGCAACCTCCACCACCCGGGTTTAAGCAATTCTCCTGCCTTAGCCTCCCAAGTAGCTGGGATTACAGGCGCGTGCCACTGTGCCCAGCTAATTTTTTTGTAATTTTTAGTAGAGATGGGGTTTCACTGTCTTGGCCAGGCTGGTCTTGAAATCCTGACCTTGTGATCCACCTGTGTTGGCCTCCCAAAGGCCTGGGATTACAGGCCTGAGCCACCGTGCCCAACCTAGGGCAGTGGTTTTAAACTTAGCGTTGAGTGGGATCTCAAAGGCAGGAGGAGAAGCCCTCCTTACCCTGTCTTAATCTTTTGTATGATTTAGACTTCACTAGATTTGATTTGGAGAAAAGGGTAGATTTGCTTAAAAGAAAAGTTTACTGTTGGTATTGAGAATAATGGAACATAAAGACTGTCGGGTTGTGAAGGGCTTTGAAAGTGAGCCTGTGAAGTTCTGTTTCTGGGTCAGGGTGTTAGGAATAACTCATTGGTCTGGCCCAGCCAGGCTGTGGTGGCAGCAGTGGAAATGCACAGACACACTGCAGGGCAGACTACTGAATCCCTCTGTCTTGTTGTTTTCCAGAGTTTTCGGTTTGGTGTGGAAATAGCTTATGTGGGAGCTACTATCTTGGATGTTTGCAAGAGGGTCAGGAAAAAGACTTTGGTTGGAGGAAACCATCAGAGTAAGGCCTTTAGTTACTCTTCTCTTTTGTGTTACAAAAGTTTCCCTCTTTATTTCGATTTTCCATAGAGTTTGTGCTCTCTCCCTAAAGGTGGTATTAGAGGTGATGTAAAGGGGCAAGTGGCCTTGTTGTCCCGGACCAATGCCAACGTGTTTGATGAGGCCGTACGGGTGACGGAAGGGGAAGTCCCTTCGAGGATACATTTGATTGGGGTAAGAGTACATTTCTGTTGACCACTTCATGCACAGAAAGGCTGCAGATGAACATACCCAATGAAAATATTCACCTTCATTGGGATTATCACGCAAGAGAGCATTTGGGGTTTTGACTCTTTTTACTGGGCTACACCGTGACTGGTCTCTAACCCTGGCGATTCTGATTATGCCAGTGAAACATTCCTGGAAAGGCAGACCCCAGAAGAGCTGGGGACCTTGGTTTCCTCTCTTCAAACAATGAGTGCCCTTCTTCCCTTGACAATGCCAGTGAGGCCGTGGGCTACTGGAAGCTTTTCTGGTTGTGTGTTGTCATTAGTGTAAGAGCAGTTGAGCTGACAACATGCGGAGTACACACCTCGGCTCTAGTTCTGACTGGTCACTAACCGTGTGTGGCTTGGGGCAAGTCACAACTTCTGTGTGCCTCATTCTCTCCATCTCTGAGATACAATAATGCCTTGCCTTACCTGTTTCACAGGGAGTTAGGAGGATTTAGTGGCATGTTTACAGCATTTTCAACCCTGAAGCAAAGTTATATGACCGAAAAATATTCACTCATTCATTTATGGAAAAAGATTTTCAAGAGCCTACTATGCATTAGGCACTCAATAAATGTAGTAGTGAATCATAATCAAAAGGTGTTTTAAGTTTGTTATTTATAAAGACTATATGATGATGGTATAGAAATTTTGGAACCTAAAAGAACACATAATCCCAATATTTCATATAATAATTCTCATTTTTGCTGTTTTTGTCTTTGTCCTCATAGATGTGTATTTTTGCGTAATTGCAATTATAGCGTCCATAAAAATGGATGCTGTTTTTTACTCAACACATAGGCATACTTTCTTTCATTGCTACTGTAATGACCTTATAATATTTGGTCTAGTATATGTAACATAATCAGTCATAGTCACTGTTGTAAGAGAGTAGTATTTTTGGAATATCATCCACAGTGGCATGATATAAAGTAAGTGGTTCTCCTCACCTCTCTTGAATCCACTTGTTACCTGTACCATGTGTCATTACCTGTGATCACACATCTCGTTGTGGGTTATAATGTCAACTGTGTTGTTTTGCCCGCTGTTTTATGTGAGTGTTTTACATGTCCCTCTCTAAAAGATGACAAGCCCTTGGAGTGTGGGTCCTGGTTGTGTCTGTCTTCTGTGCAGGGCCTGGTGCTGTGTGAGTGCTGGAGCCCAGCCAGTGCTCAGCAGTTGCTCCTGGTAGATCTGGGCTAAACAGGGCAGTCAGGCTGTCTCCTCCAGGAGCTGACCTGTTAAAATGTAGAATAATTTAGACCTAGAGACATTCTGTAGTTTTTTTTTTTTTTCGAGACAGAGTTTCGCTCTTGTTACCCAGGCTGGAGTGCAATGGCGCGATCTCAGCTCACCGCAACCTCCACCTCCTGGGTTCAGGCGATTCTCCTGCCTCAGCCTCCTGAGTAGCTGGGATTACAGGCATGCACCACCATGCCCAGCTAATTTTTGTATTTTTAGTTGAGACGGGGTTTTACCATGTTGACCAGGATAGTCTCGATCTCTTGACCTCGTGATCCACCTGCCTCAGCCTCCCAAAGTGCTGGGATTACAGGCTTGAGCCACCGCGCCTGGCTTTTTTTTTTTTTTTTTTCCTGAGACAGAGTCTCACTCTGTCACCCAGGCTGGAGTGCAATGACGCAGTCTTAGCTCACTGCAACCTCCACCTCCCAGTTCAAGAGATTCTCATGCCTCGGCCTTCCAGCTAGCTGGGACTATAGGCATCTGCCACCTGGCTAATTTTTGTATTTTTGGTAGAGAAAGGGTTTCACCATGTTGGCTAGGCTGGTCTCGAACTCCTGGCCTCAAGTGATCCACCTGCTTCAGTGTCCCAAAGTGCTGGGATTACAGGTGTGAGCCGCTGTGGTAGCCTGAAGTTCTTTTCTCACAAGAAACAGTGGTAAGTATGCATGCCCAGCGCTTTGTATTCAGGTGCCATTTGGATTCTTTGCAATCATCTCATGTTCCTGGAAGGTACTTAAATTGGCCTTTTATTGATGAGAAAGCAGTGTGCAGGTATAGGTCTTGCCTGTTTTGAAAGCATAGGAAGAGTTTGAGGTAGCAGCCGTAGCTGAGAATGTGATTGTTGTGAGTGTCAAGGCCCCATGGCAGCCTTGTGCTTCCTGCTTCATGAAGTTTCCTGCTTGCCGCCTGTGCTTTGGGTGGAACTCAAGGTTCATTTCCAAGAAATCATCTCATTTCAAAATCCCATCCCTGCATTTGCTTTGTTTTGTTAAAGCAACAACAAACAAAACAAAACGAAAAACAACAAAAAACCAAAAATCCCACCAAAAAACTTTTTCAGGGGATTAAATCATTTGGATTGGACAGAATCATTGATATTTGGATCCTTCTTCAGCCAGAGGAAGAACGGAGGAAACGTGAGTACCCGCCTGGCCTTGGTGTGTTGGAAGGAAGCACCCAACTGGCAGGGACAAGAAAGAAGCAGGCCTGGTCTGAGTCAGGGCCTCGTTTCCCTCCAGAGAAGGGCGAGCTAGTGTTGCTCTTTTCCCATGATGAGTGAGGTACCTCAGGCCTCCTCTTTTCATAGCTACTGACAGATTTTTCTAGATGCTTCTCGCAGGAGCCTCAGTCTCTTTTCCGACACTGGTCCTGTAGACTGTCTTCCCCTGCATCTTTCTGTCTGCCTGGGCAACTTTATACGTTCACTTCCACGTGGGCCCCAAGCTATAGTAACGCTGAGCATTTCTATAGTGCTTTTCTTTTCCTGTTGGCTGTGCTATTGCAAATCCCTGTGAAGTAGGTGAGGATCTTGAGCCTAGGGTTTTGCTCCTCAGTCAGAGACGGAGAGGCTACCACACTGCACTGACTTGCCCAGGGACACACAGCGAGTTAGTGATGCAGTCAGGCCTGGTGCCTGTGTCTCCCCACTTCAGACCGTCCGCTCTCGTGCGGCGGGTTAGGAACTTGCAGTACCTGCCACCATCTCTGAGTGTAGCTTGTGTCACATTAACTTGTGCGTGTATTCTCCTTAGAAAACCTCGTCATTAAAGACAGATTTATCAGAAGATGGGTGCACAAAGAAGGCTTTAGTGGCTTCAAGAGGTACGTGACCGCTGCCGAGGACAAGGAGCTTGAAGCCAAGATTGCAGTAGTTGAAAAGTATAACATCAGGATTCCAGAGCTGGTGCAAAGGATAGAAAAATGCCATATAGAAGATTTGGATTTTGCAGGTAAGGGAAGCAGTTCGTTTTTACCTTTTCCCAAGAGGAGGAACAGATGGTCTTCTACTATTTCTTTGTTGTTGTTGTTGTTGTTGTTGTTGTTGTTGTTGTTGTTGTTTAGACAGAGTCTTGCTCTATTGCCCAGGCCGGAGTGCAGTGGCACGATTTTGGCTCACTGCAATCTCTGCCTCCCGGGTTCAAGCAGTTCTCCTTCCTCAGCCTCCCGAGTAGCTGAAACTACAGGCGCACGCCACCACACCCAGCTAGTTTTTGTATTTTTAGTAGAGATTAAGTCTTGCCATGTTGGCCAGGCTGGTCTTGAACTCCCGACCTCAGGTAATCTGCCCACGTTGGCCTCCCAAAGTGCTGGGCTTACACGTGTGAGCCACTGCACCTGGCCTCTTCTGCTGTTTTTACCCTGCGTGAAATACCTATGAGCAAGAATGGCTTTATTGGTTAAGGGAAAGGGAGCAGTGCCCTGGTTCTTCTTCAGGGGCTAGTCCCAGCTCTGCCACGTGTAATGTCGGGCAAGCTGTGCAGCCCTCTTGAGGGTTCTGTCCCTTCATGTGTTAGATACAGAGGGCGAGTAGAGCTCCTCTGGCCTTTGGATTGTGGTTCTAAGAGGTACTAACTCTCCTGCAACTAATTTTCGACTTTTCCCCTTATCTTTTTCTTCTTTCTGTTCCCGACAGTTGTTTCCTCGTTCCCTCTTTTCCTGCAAAACTGCATACAGGCAAGAAACATTGGAGTTCTGAGTCAAGTGGGAAGCACATAAAGCATATACGTTTTTGTTGTCTCGCTTCTTTCCCTTTGAAGCCCCATCTAACACGTGCTGTGTTTTTATCCTAGAGTACATTCTGGGCACTGTGCACAAAGCCAAAGGCCTGGAATTTGACACTGTGCATGTTTTGGATGATTTTGTGAAAGTGCCTTGTGCCCGGCATAACCTGGCCCAGCTCCCCCACTTCAGAGTCGGTAAGGACACAGGCCGGGAGGCACCGAGTGCTGTCAGAGTCAGCAGTAACTAGAATGCTTCCTTTTCACTGCCGGGTGTTTGTTGGTTGGTGTGGCCTGCTCGTAGGGCACTTCTGGAAAAAAAACCCACAAAACACATCCTAGTCCTAAACTTTGGATTCTTATACTGTCGTTTTTTTAAAAAAACAAAACTTCCCCAAGGTGCACCCCTGTGGGGGCTGTGTGTGGGATGGTGGTGCTTACGGTGGCCTGTGAACCGCAGTCCTCTGAGGCCTGCACTGCTCTCTCACCTCCGGTTTTCACCGTCAGATTTTGAGTCTCCAGCCTCATGAAAGCTTTAAAACATAGTTGACCTGCTTACCATGGCAATTATTTCCCTTTAATTAATTCCTTTTCTTTCTTTCTTTTTTTTTTTTTTTTTTTTGAGATGGAGTCTTACTCTGTCTCTCAGGCTGGAGTGCAGTGGTGCGATCTCGGCTCACTGCAGACTCTGCCTCCTGGGTTCAAGTGATTCTTCCTGCCTCGGCCTCCCAGGTAACTGGGACTACAGGCATGTGTCACCACTCCTGGCTAATTTGTGTATTTCTAGGAGTGACGGGGTTTCACCATGTTGGCCAGGATGGTCTCAATCTCCTGACTTTGTGATCCAATCACCTCAGCCTCCCAAAGTGCTGGGATGACAGCTATGAGCCACTGCACCCAGGCATTCCTCTTCTTTTTATTAAAGAGATAAGAAAATAACAAAAGGAGAAATAGTAAGCATTCTTTATCATTTGTGGTTTTTTTTATTGGTACAAATGGGGGTCTCACTATGTTGCTCAGGCTTTTCTCAGACTCCTGGGCTCAAGCCATCCTCCTACCTCAGCCTCCCAAAGTGTTGGGATTGTAGGCGTGAGCCACCACAGCCATTTGTCTGCTTTGTTGTTATTATTATTTTTGAGATGGAGTCTCTCTCTGTCACCCAGGCTGGAGTGCAGTGGTGTGATCTCAGCTCACTGCAACCTCTACCTCCCAGGTTTAAGCAATTCTCTCACCTCAGCCTCCCGAGTAGCTGGGACTACAGGTGTGTGCCACCACACTCAGCTAATTTTTGTATTTTTAGTAGAGACGGGGTTTTGCCATGTTGGCCAGGCTGGTCTCAAACTCCTGACCTCAGGCCATCCACCTGCGTTGGCCTCCCAAAGTGTTGGGATTACAGGCATGAGCCACCATGCCTGGCCTTGTCTACTTTGTAATAAATTTGTACTCAAGGCTGGTTGTTGAACTCAGCATCAGTGCTATTGCTTTGGATTTAAGTCTTAGAATAAAACGGTTTGAAATTTCCCTACAAACAAAGCTGTCTGTTAACTGTGGATTGGAAATTTGGGGCTTAGCACATGTTGGCCTGCTGAAAATGGAAACCACAGCGTTCCTGACGCTGGCGAGCATAGAAGATGGATTGGAGTGGAGAGAGGGAGGGAAGCGGGGACGTTTACTCGAGTACCACCTTTTCCCCCTTCAGGTTTACATGTTTAAAAACTTAATTTTTGGGGTGACATGCTACACAACCCACCCATCCAAAGTGTGCAATTCAGCGGCTTTTTGCATGTCCTTGGGTCTGCCACTGTTTGTTGAGTTCCTGCCATTGTGTGGTGAATTGAGATGAGAGATGAGAGGTGCAGGTGGGCAGCACAGACACACAGCACACAGCACACCTGTGTGTCTTCCTCGTTGTCCTGTGACAGTGTCAGGCGTTTTCATATGGGACTCTGGCAGTCCTAGAGACAGTGTAAGGAAAGAGAGACAAGAGTCTGGGTCCAGCTCCCAGGCTCTTGATTAGCCATAGCCTTGTTTGTCGGAGTGACCTAACATCTCTAAGCCTTGATTTCCCTGTCTGTCTCACGGGCTTGTTGTGAGAACAGGCATAATGACTGTAAACAGACATCTGGCACATCGTGGGTGTCGAATAACCAATTAACACATTCCCAGGATTTATGTAGCAGGACTAAATAAAACCCAGTATTTTGTGCCACTAGTCTGCTGGGGTTTGTTTTGTTTTTGGAACTGGCATTTGTAGGAAAATTTTGTATTTACAGCCAACAAATCTTGAGTGGTTTTCTGGGGGAAGGGGTGGGGGATAGTAAACATTTAGATGAGACATAAGGTTTTGTAAGACAGGCTTTTTAGTTGATTTTTCCCCCCTTTCTTTAGAGTCATTTTCTGAGGATGAATGGAATTTGCTGTATGTTGCAGTAACTCGTGCCAAGAAGCGTCTCATCATGACCAAATCATTGGAAAACATTTTGACTTTGGCTGGGGTAAGAGGCACCGGCAGCATGAGCTAACGTGATGCCATTTGAACGTTGCTTAGTCTGCATGAGGGGCCGAGCTGGAGCCGTCAGAGGCCTGTGGATCGGGATTCCGGGTGGGAAGAGAAGCGCTCTGGAGTGTGCGAAGGCCAAGGACCCGTATGAGAAGTGTTCTAACCAAGGAAGCAAAAATGGGGTTCTTTTCTAAGTCATTTCCTAATTTAGTTTAAAAAGATCTGTTCAGGATAGCAGCGGACCGGGCGTGGTGGCTCATACCTGTAATCCCAGCGCTTTGGGAGGCTTAGGCGGACAGATCACTTGAGGTCGGTGGTTTGAGATCAGCCTGACCAACATGGTGAAACCACATCTCTACTAAAAATACAACAATTAGCCAGGTGTGGTGGCACATATCTGTAATTCCAGCGACTTGGGAGGCTGAGGCAGGAGAATCGCTTGAACCTGGGAGGCAGAGGTTGCAGTGAGCTGAGATGGTGTCACTGCACTCCAGCCTGGTCGACCGAGTGAGACGCTTTCTCCAGAAAAAAAACCAAAAAAACCCGGCATTGTTCACTGTATTTCTTAATTTCTTCCTTACTCAATTAGTTCTTTTTTTTTTTTGTCTGAGTCAGGGTCTTGCTCTGTTACCCAGGTTGGAGTTCAGTGGCACAATCATAGCTCACTGCAACCTCGAACTCCTGGGCTAAAGTGATTATCCTACCTCAGCTTCCTGCGTAACTGGGACTATAGGCGCATGCCACTGCACCTGACTAGTTCTTAAATTTTTTCTAGAGACGGGGTCTTGTTATGTTTCCCAGCTAGTCTCGAATCCTGGGTTAAAGTGATCTTCCTGCCTTGGCCTCCCAAAGTGCTGGAGTTACAGATGTGAGCCACCTCGCCTGGCCACTATACTCAGTACTCTTAGGAAAAAAATGGCTGGAAGGTTTTCTGCACCCCAGCTGCCTCCCTCTCGCTCTTTAGTCCCTTTTGAAATGGCATCTGCTGCTGCTACCAATAGACTTTCCAGAAGAACAGACACATCCTTGCCGGGAGAGTAAGTGTTCAGGTGCCTGGCCTTTGTCACGGAGATGTGGAAAAGTAAGCTGGTCCCACTCACTCTTTATCCTTCTCACAAACCCCATTTTCACACTCTACTTATTTTTATCTCTTTTTCTGCCTAAACAGCTGTAGTATAAACCATTTAGTCTTTTCAACTGTGTCAGAAACTGGAACAGAAATTTGAGCTAATAGTTACCACTTAGTCCATCTTTCCCTGAGCCCAAGATATTAAGCCTGAAACCTGAAACTGAAGTGTGAAAGTTAATATAAATACTCTTTCTTGCTTAGCTATCTCCAAAACAAAGTTTGTGTGTGGCAGGAGGGTTTATCTGCACTGCTGTATTGCCCTCCTCTTACAGGGTGAGGTGTGCCAAACTGCCCCATGTGCTCTGGGTTGAACCATAGGGTGTGGGCAAGGTGGGCAGTCACCACTTTTTAGTAAACGATCTTCAGCTCTTGGAGGTGTTAAGCAGTAGTAGAACCCAGATACTCATAAGGAGTATTTATTTAAGGCCAAACACATGCCAAGTACCTTTCTGGGCACTGAGGCATAACAGTGGGCAGGGGAAATTCCTGCCCTCATGGAGCCCATCCAGGTGAGGAGATGGATAAGAAACTGAACAGATAGGATTTCTCTTCAATTTTTAAGGAAGATAATATCGAAGCTTAAAAGGGAGAAGCTTTGCAAATAAATATTCTATATGACTCATCACGGAGCAAAAGCTTCTTGCATAGAACTGATTAGCTTGCATGTTTATCACATGTTTTCAGGTCTTCTTTGTCATTTTTCTTCCAGTTCTCTCTTAGGTAGGTTGACTTGGCCATAAGAATGTTTCTAGAATTTGAAATCTGATGCATTTTTCCCAAAGCAGCTTTCAACGGCTTCACAGCTTAAGCATCAGAACTTAGAACTGAAGCCGTTTTTCGTTGATTGCATATTTAGTGGCATATGGATCATCTGTAGACTTTTTCTGTGAAGGGCCAGGTAATAAAGATTTCAGGCTCTGCAGGTTGCATGATCTCAGTGGTGGCTACCCAGCCCCGCTGCTCTAGTGCAGGAGCCCCAGTACATTAGCGAACACGTGTGGCTCTTTTCCAATAACAGTTATTCAGAAAAACAGGCATTTTCTGCATATGGCCCAGGTGTAGTTTGCTGACCTCTGGTTTAAAGAAAAATGTGTCTTTTAAAAATCTCTAAACCAATACCTCCAGGAGTTAAGCAGAATAAATCTTTATGTACATATAGTCTCTACCTGTACATACATTTTTGAATAAACTGATTTATAAGAACTTTTTTGACCCTCTGGTATGGTTTTCTCATAGAAGTAGTGTTACACAAGTGGTTAGGTCTGTAACAAAACCACATTGTCAACTGATAGAACTGTGTGGGGGTGTTAGAGCAGTAATACCATTTCACAGCATGGGCTACACAGGCTTTTTCATTTTTGCTTAAGAAAATTTTGAGACATAAAAAGTAAAGAAAGCAACACATTGAACATGCATATACAAATCATCCCTATACATCCACATCTCCAAAAAAATAATGTATTTTATTTTCTCAAACCATGCCATTTTCATATTTTATAAATATCATAATATGTGGCCTCTACTGCCCAATCTATAATTAATACTTTTATGATTGTCTCAGAAATGCTTTTTTACAGTTGATTTGTTCAAGTCAGAGTCCAAACCAACATTTGGTTGTCTCTTAAGCGACTTAATAAGAGAGCCGTGTGGAACTCCCTCCCCACTTTTCCCATGCTTCTGTCTCATTGCTGAAACTGGGTCATTCATCCTACAGAGCGTCCCCATTCTTGGGTTGCTTCCTGTTGTGGTTGTGTAACTGGTTCTGCCATTGCCTGTGCTGGCTTTCTGGTAACTGCAAGTTAGCTATAGAGGCTTGATTAGATTCAAGCCTGAGTCTTTTGCAGGTCTGCCGCATGGGAGGTGGGAGAGGGCTTTGTGCCTTGCCGTATCACATAAGGAGGCTCACAGGAGCAGGTTAGTTTTTCCCTGTTAGCGATGCTGATTGCTCATCTGTTTAAGAGGCACAGCTAGGATATGTGTATTTTTGAAAAGAAAGAAAAAACTGACAGTTCATACGATAATTCCAATCCCAGTTTTTAGATTATTGTTTCTCCAAGAGACAGGGTCTCACTCTTTTGCCCAGGCTATAGTGCAGTGGCACAGTTATGGCTTAACTGCAGCCTCAACCTCCTGGGCTTAGGTGCAGTCCTCCCACCTCAGCCTCCCAAGCAGCTGGGAGCACAGGCATGCACCATCACACCTGGCTTTTTTTTTTTTTTTTAAAGAGACAGGGTCCCACTATGTTGCCCAGGCTGGTCTTGAACTCCTAGGCTTAAGTGATCCTCCCGCCTCAGCCTTCCAAAGTGCTGGGATTACAGGTATGACATCAGGCAAATTTCAACATTTTGTTGTTAAATACAACATATAAAACAGCATAAAGCAGTTTAAAATTGTGACGTTTCAAGCACCTACCAGATTAGAAGATGGGATCTGCCAGCCCTCACAGAGCTGCTCTGGTGGCCCCTGGCCATCACAGCGCCACCTCTCCTTTCTGAGGGTTACTGCCGTCTCAGCAGATATGCTTGTTGCATAGCTGCCCTGTTTTTTCCCTTTTACCGGGTGTGCACTGCCATCAGTGAATGCTGAAAAATAGCACTTTTTACACCTGTTCTCTTCATTCTCCCAAGTTTCAAAAGCTGTACTGTATCCGCATCGCCAGAGGCTTTAGCCCTTTACACCATCAGCCCTCGTGAATCGTGGTCTAGAATCCAGTTCACATTGAACATGAAGGGAGTTTTACTTCTGCTCTCACCCTTGGATCTTTTCTCATACACTGAACTCTTGGTTCCTAACAGTATTTATTAATTACTTATTGCTACTATTCTATGTGTTTAAAAATAATATTGAAAATAATGCCAGTATTACTATTAATGGAATACTGACTGGACTTGAAGATCTCCTAACAGCTCCATTTCTCCATTAATGATGTATTTGTTAGTCAAAAATATGATGTTCTAAAGTCATTTAAAGTAAGTCCTTTTTTGTGGTTTTATTACCAACTCAATATGTAGTTTGAAATGTAGTCCATATATGATACCTTCAGGGATTGCTTTGCTTCTTTTTGATTCAATGATCTTTTTTGATGTGTAAGGCCTATTTATGTTTTCAGAGTCAAAACTTTGTGGCTGGGTGTGGTGGCTCACCCCTGTAATCCCAGCACTTTGGGAGGCCGAGGCAGGCAGATCACTTGATGTCAGGAGTTTGAGACCAGCCTGGCCAACATGGTGAAACCCTGTCTCTACTAAAAATTAAAAAAAAATAGCTGGGCGTGGTGATGCATGCCTGTAGTCCCAGCTACTTGGGAGGCTGAGGCAGGAGAATCAGTTGGACCCAGGAGGCGGAGGTTGTAGTGGGCTGAGATTATGTCATTTCAGTCCAGTGTGGGCAACAAAGGAAGACTCTGTTTTGGAAAAAAAAAAAAAAAGAATGAAATAGACTTTTTAAAGCAAATTAGAAGCTTGTCAGTTGGTTGCTGGGTGCATTTTGTTTTCCCTGTAGAAGAAAAGAATATAATATCTAGAGAAATAAATACTTCCCCCTTACTGAGACTGGGCGGGGCTGTCTGCTCTCAGGGGTCCTGTGAGGAAGTCCCAGAGAAACTGCCTATTTGTAGGAACAGATTTTTTTTTGTTTGTTTGTTTTGTTTTGTTTTATTTTTTTCAATTTTTATAGAGTAGGGGTCTCGCTATGTTGCCCAGGCTGGAGTGCAGTGGCTATTCACAGGCACAATCCCACTACTGATCAGCACAGGAGTTTTGACCTGCTCCGTTTCCGACCTGGGCTGGTTCACCCCTCGTTAGGTAACCTGGTGGTCCCCCGCTCCCGGGAGGTCACCATGTTGATGCTGAACTTGGTGCGGACACCCGATCGGCATAGCAGACTACAGCCCAGAACTCCTGGGCTCAAGCCATCCTCCCACCTCAGCCTCCCGAGTAGCTGGGACTACAGGCATGTGCCACTGTGCTGTAAGACCTCGTAAGGTGAGGTGGAGGCACTTCTGCTTTTTTTTTTTTTTTAGACAGAGGCTTGCTCTGTTGCCCAGGCGGGAGGCAGTGGTGCAGTCTTAGCTGACTGCAATCATCGCCTGCTGTTCTCCTGTCTCAGCCTCTAGAGTAGCTGATACCACAGGTGTACACCACCATGCCTGGCTAATTCTTTTTTGGCGGGGGTGGTAGAGGCGAGGTTTCACCATGTTGGCCAGGCTGGTCTCGAACTTTTGACTTGAAGTGATCCGCCCACCTTGGCCTCTCAAAGTGCTGGGATTGCAGGCATGTGAGCCACCATACCTGGCCTTTTAAATTAATTAATTAATTAATTAATTTTTTGAGACGGAGTTTTGCTCTTGTTACCCAGGCTGGAGTGCAATGGCGCGATCTCGGCTCACTGCAACCTCCGCCTCCTGGGTTCAGGCAATTCTCCTGCCTCAGCCTCCTGAGTAGCTGGGATTACAGGCACACGCCACCATGCCCAGCTAATTTTTTGTATTTTTAGTAGAGACGGGGTTTCACCAGGTTGACCAGGATGGTCTCGATCTCTCGACCTTGTGATTCACCCGCCTCAGCCTCCCAAAGTGCTGGGATTACAGGCTTGAGCCACCGCGCCCGGCCTTTTATTTTTATTTTTATTTTTTTATGATCACAGCCTGTGAATTTGGGGACATCCTGTTTCAGAAGTGTCTGAGTCCAGTCTCTGCCCGGGAGGGCAGGACGTGGGGATAATGAAGATCCTGAGTCAGGCAGTAGTTCAGGGCCTAGGAGAGCGTGTTGGAAATAGTGGAGCCGTGGGTGGGGTGTTTTGGAGATAAAAAGGGATCCATTATTTCCTGGGCTGCCTAGAAGGGTAAGCCCCTTCATCTCACATATAACCAAGAGCAGGCAAGAGGAGGGCAACCTTCTTTTTCTCTAACCCCTCCCCTCTTAGAAAATATAGCTAATAGAAGCCGGGCGCGGTGGCTCACGCCTGTAATCCCAGCACTTTGGGAGGCTGAGGCGGGTGGATCACGAGGTCAACAGATTGAGACCATCCTGGTCAACATGGTAAAACCCTGTCTCTACTAAAAAATACAAAAAATTAGCTGGGCATGGTGGCGCGTGCCTGTAATCCCAGCTACTCAGGAGGCTGAGGCAGGAGAATCGCCTGGAGGCAGGAGAATCGCCTGAACCCAGGAGGCGGAGGTTGCAGTGAGCCGAGATCGTGCCATTGCACTCCAGCCTGGGTAACAAGAGCAAAACTCCATCTCAAAAAAAAAAGAAAAAAAAGAAAATATAGCTAATAGAATCACCAGAAGCCATTTTGTTCATTTGTTTAAGTTTTGAGAAAGTGAAGGAAATTATTACATTGTTGAGGTGCTAAGTGACATGAAGTTATGTTAGTTGTTCAAAGACAGCTTTTTTTTTTTTTGAGACAGAGTCGTCTTTCTCTCTAGCTCAGGCTCAAGTGCAAGTGTAGTGGTACAGTCTCACCCAGCTCACTGCAACCTCCGTCTCCCAAGCAATTCTCAGGCCTCAGCCTTGGAGTAGCTTGGTATTACAGGCATGTGCCACCATGCCTGGCTAATTTTTGTAGTTTTAGTAGAGGTGAGCCTTCACTATGTTGGCCAGGCTGGTCTCTAACTCCTGACTTCAAGTGATCATCCGCCTTGGCTTCCCAAAGTGCTGAGATTACAGGCTTGAGCCACTATGCCCAGCCAAAGATAGATTCTTAGTCTCACAGAATCTTAGATTCTTTTTGTTTAGATACAGGGTCTTGCTCTGTTGCCCAGGCTGGAATGCAGTGGCATGATCTCAGCTCACGGCAACCTCAGCTTCCTGAGTAGCTGAGACTACAGGCGTGTACCATTATGCCTGGCTAATTTTTGTATTTTTGGTAGAGATAGGGTTTCACCACATTGTCCAGGCTGGTCTTGAACTCCTGGGCTCAAGAGATCCTCCCACCTCTGTCTCCCAAAGCACTGGGACTACAAGTGTGACCCCCACCCCTTAAATTTATATAAATAAAAACAGCTAATCTAGTGGTTATAAGAAGCTTAAAAAGAACGAAATGGCATAAAATCTACAGAAATGAGAGAACATTGTATGTTAGGTTGTCATGTTTTGTGAAGCTTTTCTTCCATATGTGCGTATGTGTGTATAGCATTATAATGGTGATGGTGTCAGAAACGGTTTGAGCGCCCAGCCCTGGAGAACCTTGCACAGTGGACAGGGAGTCAGCATTGTTGGAAATGACGTGGATACAACCGAGTAACCATAGCAAGGGAATGTGTAAATAAAATACAGGAGAGCGCTGTGATTGAGTCCCCTATGGCGTTTTAGAACAGCTCGTGAGGAGGAAGCCAGAAGTGTAATATCCATGTAAATAGATACCTATAAAATGACACCTATGTCTTGGACACGTGTGTAAACGAGGAGCCATTTCACAGTGGAGGAACCTCGCCAGGGTCACAGTCGTGGCTGTCTCTGGGGAAGGAAATTGAGATGACAGTCAGAGGGACTTCAGCAAAATCTGTGGCTTCAGGCAGGACTTCACCTCGTCCGCTGTCAGTACTCGTTGGCCATAACTTGCGTGTTTGCATGGTTTTCTGTTCTTTTTCACAGCAGGTAGACAAGTCCTCTAAAAAAAGACCAAATGAATCAAAATGTAGGACACAGATTGTAGAACAATTTGACCAGTAGCCAGTCCTAATACAGAAAACATGAAACCGCCATTTCCTGGGCAGCAGATACATGCAGTCCTGCTAGCGTATCAGTTGGTGATGTGGAGCCCCACGAGACAGCAGTGAAGCTGGCAGCTCCTGTCCTTGCAGCGTTTCCAGCCTGGGAGGTCACTAGCGCTTCCTCTGGGTGCCCTGTGCACTCCAGGCATGAGTGCTTTGCATGCAGTTTGGGGTTTCTTTTTCTTAGCAGCCGCCTAAAGCAGGCACCGCGCCACCTGCATTTATGGATAAAGACACAGTCTTAGTGAGGCTGTCATTTGCTCACGAGTACAGCCAGCAGCACAGGACAGTGGAAGTGTGCAGGGATATTTGGGCAGGTTTCCTCCAGTCCTCTGCATTGCCTACCTGGATTGTAATGTGAATACACACATAATTTTCTCATGATTGAGCTGGGGATGTGTTAGCATAAAATAAAATGCAGAAATATTCTGCAAATGCTATTATAGGCAATAGTTGTGCATGTTTATCCGTTAAATATGTATGTATATATTTAAAAAGCAATTGGACTGTCCGTTGGACTGTTGATAGTTTTGGAGGCAGGGAAAAGTTAGAGCAACTAAGGGAGAATGGGGCAGTCGGTGTTTTTCTGTTTCTGGGACTTACACTGCGTCTAAAGTGTTCTCAGCTGTGGCTGTCAGCGTCTCCAGGTAGACCCTAGCAGAGGTATCACCATGATTCTCTGTCTCACCCTTTCCTTCTCAGGAGTACTTCTTGCAAGCCGAGCTGACAAGCAATGTCTTAAAAACAGGCGTGGTGCGCTGCTGCGTGGGACAGTGCAACAATGCCATCCCTGTTGACACCGTCCTTACCATGAAGAAGCTGCCCATAACCTATGTATGTCTGCTGTCTGTGAAACTTAATTCAGCCATTTGCGTTTTTTGTTTGTGAGCTGTGTGCTTATCTGGGTTGTGGTGAGGGAGATAAGAGAGATCTGTGTGGTCCTTTATTAGGGGCTTTCCACACGAGAGGCACGAGAGGTGTGTGGTCAGCTCTGGGGTCAGCGGCCAGGGCACATAGTGCTGCCTGGCCGTGCAGAAGCCATAGGTCTGGGAGGCTGGGTTGTGCCACACGCTTAGCAGGGTAGCTGTTCCCTGGGATCCCCATGCAGCTTTTCTTGTTCTTTATCTCGAGTGGACAAATGGCTGTTTCTGCACTCAGGTAATTTGGGGTGTTGAGCCCACTGAGATGGTGGTTCTGTGGGAGGTGTTACTCTGAGGTCGTGCGCCCCCCTGAAAACAGAATCCGAATGTGTTGTTCCTGGGCAGCTGTGATGATAACTCCATGCTTTTGGCTGGAAAATCCGTGTTCTTTGGTTGTTCCCCTTAGCTCTCTTTCTTGTCCATCACCGCAGAGCAACAGGAAAGAAAACAAAGGGGGCTACCTCTGCCACTCCTGCGCGGAGCAGCGCATCGGGCCCCTGGCATTCCTGACAGCCTCCCCGGAGCAGGTGCGCGCCATGGAGCGCACCGTGGAGAACATTGTGCTGCCGCGGCATGAGGCCCTGCTCTTCCTCGTCTTCTGAGGCCAAGGTGCACTCTCTGCAGTGCAGAGCAGCTTGCCGAGGACCCCAAGCCGAAGAAAGCCAGCAAGGGGGCTCCCGCTCCCAGAGACTCTGGGTTCACCCACAGCACTTTCTGAGGAAGAGGAAACCAGCCCAGGCTGGACCTGCCATTTCTCCACTCCCTGCAGACAGCTAGTCTCCGCTTGCCTCCCCTCCGCACACATCCGGTCGGGCAAGTGGGGGATGTTCTTTTGATAAAAAAACATTTTATGTATTTAAACTTTTATTACAAGATTTCAATTAAACAGGTACCATAGCACTAGTGCACCGCACGCGGCGTGATGTCTGGGTCAGCACGGTTGTTCTGGACTTTCTCATTTTCCAGTGTACTCTTTCTGATAGCATTGTCACTGTTTACATGACACAGGAGGCAGAGTACGAGACGTGATGTCTTCGGTGGGAATTGGGGCATCAAAAATGAGACCTTGGCAGGGGGCAGTGGCTCACGCCTGTGACCCAACACTGAATCCCAGCCAAGGCAGGAGGATTGCTTGAGCCCAGAAGGTTGAGGCTATGGGTGACAGAGCAAGACCCTGTCTCCAAAAAAAAAGATGTTTTAAGGAGGTCAGATAAATTACAAGGCTAACAGGATCATAATCTCAGCAAGAAATGACCTCAGATGGGCTGGACCACAGCCCCTGTGGGCCTGGTAGGGGGAACAGAGGCGAGGATCTGTGGTTCTCAAAGCAAGCAGCGGCAACATCACTGGGAAACTTGTGAGAAATAAAAATGTTCAGTCCCCATCCCAGGCTTAGAGGATCAGAAATGCTAGGGCTGAGGCCCAGCTGTTGGTGCTTAACAAGCCTGGCAAGTGGTGGTGATGCACTCTACATTTGGAAAACTGCTCTTGATGTTTAGAAGGTAGACTCAGCAGGATTTCTGGAGTACTGGGATCCTTGTAGGAAGACGCGGTGATAGAGGTTATCTTCATCGAGACAGGAAAAACGGGAGCTATAGCAGGTTTGTGTAAACGCAGTCATCAGTTTGGTTTTCAGCATGTTGAGTGGAACCGTCCAGGAGGCTGTTGGGTGAACACATCTGTCCTGCAGCAAAGAGCCTGGCAGGACATGGAAACTTCAGAGTTGTCGGTGTATAGGTGGCAGTGAAGTTTGAAGGGTTTTGCCGAGTCAATCCAGGAGAGTATAGAGAATGAGGAGAGCAGAGGTCAGGGAAGCAAGGCTGGTGGACAGGAGGCTTAGGGTGAAGAGAGGAAGAGGTTTCAGAAGAACAGCCGATCCAGAGGAGCCTTGTGATGGGGCACCACTGGGCTCCGGACAGGAGGGAATTTGGGAAAAGGGGATCTTCAGCATCCAGTGCAGTAGAGACCAAATAGAAAAAGGGCGGACAGGTGTTTAACTGGCACTGTCAAGGTCAGTTAACGTTAGTTAGTTTCCATGAGGCGAGAAGTCGACTGCTGTGGCCTAAAATGTGAGTGAAAAATTTGAGGGCTAAGATATATATATTCAGTATGGTTTCTTTGTGAAACCATACTATAAGGGCAGTAAAACGTGTTTCTCTCTCTCTCTCTCTCTCTCTCTCTCTCTCTCTCTCTCTCTCTCTCTTTCCCTCTTTCCCCCTCTCCCTCTCCCTCTCCCTCTCCGTGTGTGTGTGTGTGTGTGTGTGTGTGTGTGTGTGTGTGTGTGTGTTTTAAGGGCAAAGAACAGGAAGGAAGCAGCAGCGATCCTGAAGGCAGCGGGATCATCAAACATCTGAAGATGCCCCTAAGATGAAGGCTAGAGGTCAAAACTGAAGAATCAACTTGGAGCAAACTGTCTGTACAGGGAGAAGAAAACGTCTAAATATCTTTAATATATTCAGAGAATGAGAGGAGGTAGTGCATTCCATGGAGTAGCAGGTTAGATATGTATAAAAGAATATTTGGGGCTGGGTTTGGTGGGTCATGCCTATAATCCCAGCATTTTGGGAGGCCGAGGTGGGTAGATCATCTGAGGTCAGGAGTTCGAGACCAGCCTGGGCCAATATGGTGAAACCTTATCTCTACTAAAAATAGAAAAATTAGATAGGCATGGTGGCACGTGCCTGTAATCCCAGCTACTTGGGAGGCTGAGGAAGAATTGCTTGAACCTGGGACGCAGGGTGAGACTATCTCAAAAAAAAAGGCAAAAAAAATTTGGAGAAAAAAGTATGAAAGAAACCCAGTAGAATTGTTAAAAGAGTAAGTTGAAAATCTAGAAAGTAGAGCAAAAACAAAGATTGAAAAGTAGAGGCTCGACACAGTGGCTCACACCTGTAATCTCAGCACTTTGGAAGGCTGAGGCCGTGGATTGTTTGAGCTCAGGAGTTAAAGACCAGCCTGACCAACAGGGCAAAACTCATCTCTGGTGACGAGGGTGTCAGTCCAGTTGGACCATAGCAGAAAGGCTGGGGTTTCCTGTCTGCTTCCAGGCTGGCATTCGTCTCCCTAAGCCCACCTTTTAAACAAACTCACTGAGGAAGTGGCCAGCACAGGACATCCTAGATTTTTTTTTTCTTCCTTTTTTAAATGTACAATTCATTGGTTCTGATTTTTTTTTTTTTTTTTTTTTTTAGACGGAGCCTTTGCTCTGTCACCCAGGCTGGAGTGCAGTGGCGCAACCTCCGCCTCCCGGGTTCAGGCAATTCTGTCTCAACCTTCTGAGTAGCTGGGATTACAAACATGTGCCACCAAGCCCAGCTACTTTTTGCGTTTTTGGTAGAGATGGGGTTTCACCATGTTGGCCAGGCTGGTCTTGAACTCTCTTGACCTCAGGTGATCCACTCACCTCAGCCTCCCAAAGTGCTTGGATTACAGGCGTGAGCTGCTGCGCCTGGCCTGATTTTTTGTTGTTTAAGTAATCATTTTCCTAATACACATCTTCCGAATCTGGACCCCACAGATTAGGAAGTGCTTTAGTTTCTAATACCCATGGTATTTCCACTGCCACTGTGTGAAGAGGTACAGTTAGAACTCTTTCAAATGATCACATTAAAAAAATAGCATCAGCCTTTGGAGTCCAAGATGAACAATCAAACAAAAAATAAGTCTCATGGAGGTCACATGAAGGGAGCTTCCCCATGAATTGGCTACACCTGGTGACAGGTAACATTTTAATCAGTGGCCTCATACATAATGGGGTCGGCCTGTGTCTGCAGCCAGCTCTACATATTTTAGGGTCTCTCTTTTTTTTTTAATGGAATCTCGCTCTGTAGCCCAGGCTGAAGTGATCTTGTATCACTGCAATCTCTGCCTCCTGGGTCTTGGTTCAAGCAGTTCTCCCACCTCAGCCTCCAAGTAGCTGGGACTACAGGCATGTGCCACCACTTCTGGTTAGTTTTTGTATTTTTTGTAGAGACAGGGGTTTCACCATGTCATTTTGGCTGGTCTTGAACTCCTGGACTCACGCGATCCACCTGCCTCGGCCTCCCGAAGTGGTTGGATTACAGGTGTGAGCCACTGCACCCAGCCAAAGGCTCAGATTCTTAAGTTGGGTTTTCAGCTACCCTGGCCTTGCATCTGTAAGGGATGAAATTCTGTATGGTTCTAGGAAGTCTTTAGGTTTCAGCCTGTGACTTGAATTCAGACTTTAGAGATTTGAATTTCTTATTCTCTTAAGTTTTTCATCGCCATTAAAAGCAGCCACCCATTTACGGCCTTGGATTTCTCCTACCTATACAATTTCAGGTTGGAAGCAACATAGCCTCTGAGAGCCGGGCTTGCAGTGGGCATGACATCCCAGGCACCTCCTGGTGAACTAATTACTGAATTCCCTGGGCTGCTCCATTCCTATCTCTGAATATCATCGGAGCATTGGCTGTCTCCACCCCTCTCTAAGGCAGGTAACCAATGGCAGATATTCCTTATCTCTCCTCTTCTCCATAATTTGCAATACCCACTCCGGTACTGAATTCATAATCAGCTAGGAACTTTTCAGTGACAAGTAATGAAAACTGAAGCTGTTATAAAGAAAAAAAAAATGTATTGGAATGATACCAGGGGCCCGTAGAATCCCAGGAAATGGAAGGCTTAGGTTTGGAAGATGGTTAGGACCCAAAGCCATCTGGAGAGCCCAGGAACAGGCGGTCAGGGCTTCTGAGGCCACTGTTGGGCACTGCCCTGTGAGCTCTGCACACTTCATTCTCTGTATTCAACAGCTTTGGAGTCTAGCTGAGAGGCCCTGGAGGCCACGCCCAGCCCAAGTGCCCACAAGCGGGGTGGGTGGGGGGTGGGGACAGGAAGGGGGTGGTTAGTCCCTCTGTGGCAGTGGCTGGTGAGGCACCCCAACAGGATGGAGGAGCCCCAGTGCTGTATTTCCACTCTTTTTCCTCCTTTGTATGGAACATTTCTCCTTGATAATTTTTTTTCTTTTTTCTTTTTTTTGAGACAGAGTCTCTGTCACCTAGGCTGGAATGCAGTGGTGTGATCTTGGCTCACTGCAACCTTCGCTTCCCGCTTCTCCTGCTTCAGCCTCCCAAGTAGCTGGGATTACAGGCACCCACCACCATGCCCAGCTAATTTTTGGATTTTTAGTAGAGAAAGGGTTTCACTATGTTGGTTGTTGGTCAGGCTGGTCTCAAACGCCTGACCTCAGGTGATCCACTTACCTCGGCCTCCCAAAGTGCTGAGATTACAGCCATGGGCCACCGCGCCCGGCCATCCTTGGTGATCGGGTGTGGGCCACCGCGCCTGACCGTCCTTGGTGATCCGGCGTGGGCCACCATGCCCGGCCGTCCTTGGTGATCCGGCATGGGCCACCGCGCCCGGCTGTCCTTGGTGATCCTTTTAGTGCATTTTAAAATATTGAAAATAGATGTTTTATTTTGTTTATACAAGGTACAATGTCAAAATGCAAATCATATATAATGTGTAGATATAATAGACAAGGAAGCAGAAAGGCATATATATGTCAAGTGGTGCTGAGTTGTTTTCTTCTTCCTGAATCCTTCGATGGAGAGGATTCGTTGGGCTCAGCATGTCTCCCAACTTTCCTGGCTCCCTGTGTGTGCAGAGCAGCTGGAGACAGAGTGGTTAGGAGCCCCAGTGCGGGTGTCTTCCCTGGAGACATCTCCCAGGCCAGGAGGAGCCTTGTAATTGACAGAGCGCCTTGGGTATATCACTTTTCTCTGTAAACTGCAAGTCAGGCTGAGGGATGGAAGATTTCAGGAGAGAAGGGGGCATTTCATCCTGAATAGCTAAGAACAGCAACACTAGAATGGGTGGTTTTATAGACAGTCACTTAGAGGAGTAAGTGTCAACTAAATCCTCCTTATAATATAGTGCCTAA